ATCATCGGAATGCATCCGCCAATAAATTTTAGGTATGAACCCCCGAGACGGGATATCTTATGTGACGTTGGATGCAAATATAAAAGTGAAAGGCAGTTTCCTATTTCACTTATTCAATCATGAGAATGCTAAAGAAAAAAAAAAGGAAAAATAAAATAAAACTTGAATTTGAAAAGACATTTCAATAGCAAAAAGTAAGATCTAAGACCAAGATCCTCAAAAGAAAAAGAAAAGAAAAGATTAAAATTGAAGCCTATGTTGGATATCTTGAGCTTTCAAAATTATGGATCCCCCAAAAAAAAAACTCCATCAAGAAAGAAAGTAAATAAAGGCTCTACATAAACCTGAGGATGAGATTTATGTAAAATTAGGATCATTATAAGTTAGCACGTAAACTTGTTGGTGACATTCAATTCAATTGTTTAATTATTCAATGAGTGAATTTTCAAGTTCCACCAACCCATTTTAAAATCTTAAGTAGATGAATAAGAATCTTGAGAATTTCATTCATTTTTTTATCATTATAGACAATCGCATCGATATTATCTACGGAATCCGAACTCTATTTACGATTTTTATTCAGAAGGTCTTATATTCAATGAGGGAGAATACAAGTTGAATAAATCCTCTTTGCAGTTTGTATACAAATAACATTTATCAAAATCAGTCTTGATGTTTCCCTTTCATCTCTTTTCTTTTTCCTCTTTTTTTGCTTTGTTTTTCCTTTGGGGCCACTCTCGGCTTTGTTTCATCTCATTTTCCTCTTCTCTCATTGTAAAATATTGCTCCTTGAAGCAAGCTTTGTGTGAGTGTGTGAGAAAGAGGAGGGGTGGGGGAGGGGAGAGAGAGACAAAGATCTAGTGAGAGTTTCGAGATGTTAGTTTAATGTTATTTTGTTTGTCCACACTTTGATTACAACATAATTTTGTAGGTTTTCCTCATTTTTCCTTTTTTGGGGTTAACTAAAAATTTCTAGTTAAGCTGCACTTTTGTTACGATGGACTGATGGTACCCTTGTTTATGTAATGTAGGAATAACTTTCCATTGATCAATTTCTTACATGTTATCTATGTTAGTGTGAATATTTCTTGTGTTCTAGACTTCTAATTAGTTTATTTTCTGTATTCAGAAATATTAAGAATAAGTTTCACATTATTATTTTAGTTATATGTTTGGGTTTTTTACCTGTTTGTCAATGCTTGGGGGGTTGGGGTGGGGTGGGGGGTTATTTTTTTAATAGTGGACAGAAGACTATTATCGATAACAAAAGTATAAGGAGCCACTAGTGATTTGGTCATTCTCGATTCTGCTTTTCTGGAAAGTTATTGATTTTTCTTTGTTCAATTGAAATACAAGTGAAAGATTTCAAAGCTTTTTTGCGTAAGAATGCATAGTTAATAGCTATGGACAATAATACGTATAGGAAATTTTTAGTGTTTTATTGTGAATTATGCTTTGCAAAGATGGTATCTAGTTCAAGCGGACTTAAGGCTTGGTGTAGTCTGCTGGTGCACAAAAAGAAGTGCATCTTGGAAAAACTTTTAATGTGGCTTATTGGCATTTCCTCATCTTGAATATGTGTTTCAGGAGTGCAATTTAAATTCTTGCAATCCAGTAAGTTGTTAGATGGAAACTAACAGTGAGCTCAAGTGCAGATTTATGCCGGGCTTGATTGGCCCGCATGGAGCTGAGGGGTCGTCAGCACTAATCCCTTGCCCAGGCCGCTCCATAGAAAGGGGTTCCCCCCATTGTTGTAAAGCGCCGGTTCAGTTTTGACCAAAACACTGCAGAAATCCCATCCAAATGCAACAAAATTGGATGGGTAGTCTAGATTACTCCCAGTCGAGCCTCACCAAGAGGAATCCATCGAAAAACAAGCAACAAATTGGGCTGAAATTGGAGATCTCACCTCGACAACTTAAACCCGAAAAAACTTCAAAAATTGAAAAAACTAGTCAAACGGCTTCAAAAAAATTTGCAAAATAACCAATATTCCCAAAAGTTTCAATCGAATCTGTCTATAATTTTTCCGAAATTTTTTGACATGTTTGATGTTGACGTTAGCCTGGCAGAAAACATTGTTGACTGCACAATGGGGAATTTCGACTATAGATTTTGATCAAGGCTCTAATATCAAGTTAGATTATGAAGTTGTTAGGGTTTGTAACAAGAGAGAAGAATAAGAGAGGAAGAAGAGAAGATTATGTGAAGAGAATAGTGTGTGAGGGTTGCACAACTACATTCCATATATATATAATCATCAAATGCCAAACATACTCTAATGGGTTACATCCTAATATAACATAACATAACATGTTTTGTTATTCTACTTACCTATGTCGCTTTCCTAATATATTCTACTTTCCTAATATTTTAATTGTCTTCAATGTCAATCTAGTATAGAGCTTTTTATCAGTCTACGGAACACAAAAAAAAAAAAAATAAATAAAAAATAAAAAAATTGTGCATCTTGAAAATGTCAGTGGAATTGACGTTTTTCCCCCATTGTCTACTTGCATGTTTGGGTTGGGTTTTGCTGAAGCAAACAAATTTCATAGTATGAATTGTCCATTTTCCCCTCCTCTTCCCTTCATGGTTAAGCAAAGCAATTGTGCAATGTCTCCTTCAACACCCAAAAAATACCCATCCAAACTTCTAAAGAGGGAAAAAAAAAAGGCAGCTGCACCAAGACCACCATAAATTAAAAAATCGAAACCCATTCACAGTTGCCACTGTGCACGCCTTAATCATAACCTCTAAATTAAACCCAGATCCACCATCTTGGCACCCACAGTCACCTACAATGCACCCTTCTTCGATTGCCTGAAAGAGTGTGGCGGTGGGTCAAAGGTGGATACATCGATTCCGAGGTGGTGTACCGAGGTCAGGGGGTGAAGAGATGATTATGAATGCGAATTTACTCATTGGCTATGTGTGCGCAAATAGTAATGAAAGAGAGAGGAGGGACGATTGGGGGGGGGGAGGGAGAGAGGACACAATGGTGGTGGACGGTGTGCTTTGAATAAATGAAGGCAGATGCCTTTTTATTAAAAAAAGGAAAACAGATGAAGCCCAATAGATGGAATTTAAAAATGTTTGAACAGATAACTAATATTTTTATTTTGAAGACGTCAAATGGACTGTCGTTTTTAAGTTAAAAACTTATTTTTGGACTAATATTTTTATTTTAAAGACATCAATTGGAGTGACGTTTTTAAAAACTGTTTGAGTTAGAAAAATAGTTTCAAAACTAACCCATTTTGAGAATTATTTTTTCAAAGCACATGGATTTGGTAAAAAGCTCTCCGGTATAAATAGGCGATAGGTTGAAGGCAATTCAAATTTTACACACAATATGGTTTCCTAATCTCTTTTTTTTTTACCCTAATATTCAATTATTTAAGATTCAACATGATATTAGAGTTGGATATTTGGGTGAGTGGGGGCTCTAGGCGAGCGCCTCACTCACCTGGTGGTTGGGTCGGTCAACACATATCAAAGATGTCATCATCTCTATGTCCGCTAGTTGTTGTTGTCTATGTTTTTGGCCAGTCTTAGTGTTGGTTTAGTGTTTTTAGCTCGATTTAGTGTTTGTTTAGACGGTTTAAGCCCAATTTGGTGTTGGTTTACTCATTTTCATCTCGGTTGAGTGTCGATTCAGTATTTTTAGCTTGATTTAGAGTCGTTTCAATGGAATGTTCAAGGTTGTAATATCAACCATCAACTCGGAGAACGAGACATCGGTGGAGGTTTTACAGGATAGTATTGGGCGATATGACCTAACAGAAGAAATTGGATATGACGAGAAATGCATGTCATATCGTGGCACAATGGAACGGTATCAGCCAATTCGTTGATGATAATTCAGTGACTCGGGGTTGACTTGAAAGTCTCATACGACTCGGCCATATTGTGAGACTCAAAGTTTTTATTTAATGTGAAGCGAAATGACTCAGCCGACTCATATTGGAGTTTTCATCCTGGTTCAGTACTAGTTTTATGTTTTTTAGCATTGGTTCAACCCCTTTTTGGCCGATTTAACTTCTATTCTGCTTTGTTTTACCCTATTTTCGATTGTTGTGGTCTAATTTGTTATTGTCTATGGTTTGTTATAGTATTATTGGTTGTGTTCGTTTGTGCCGGTATTGTTGTCGTTCAGTTCATGCCTTAGATTCACATGGAGCAACGAAGTGGGTTTGTTAGGAAAAGTGTCATTGTATTGTGTGTCGATTAAATAAGTCCTTGGATAGTCCAAAGCAGTCATGTAGAACTATGCTTAATATTTACATGGAGATATTGCAACCTTGTTTGTAAAGTCTGGTGATCAACTCTGTAATATTCTTATCAAATCATTGGTGCGGTCCACCTTTAGTAGCATTTGTTCAAAATTGGATATTTTTGATTTCTATGCTCTTGAGAGGGAGTGTTAGATTGTTACTTTGCTATTGGTCTACTTTTCTATTATCAAGGTCGCTTTTCTATTTTGTTCTACTTTTCTAGTATGTTCTACTTCCTTAATATTGTAATTGTCTTCATATCAATCTAATATAAATTGGTGAAAGGGTGTAGGCAGCAAAAATTCTACACAAGATGGTTTCATAATCTTTTTCTTTCTCTCTTCCTCTTCCTCCTCTTCTTCTTCTCTTTCTTTCTCTAAACCCTAATATTCGATTGTTCAAGTGTCAACAAAAAAAGAACGAGCAATTTCTATTTACATTTTTTTCCCGGATAAAATGGAAACGTTACAAAATGATACCCATTTTTTGTGTTTTCAAAAATGATTTCACTAAAAAAAAAACATAATACTAAACGCTTTGTTGTTTCTAGTTTTCACAAAAACTTTTAAAAAAATAGAAAAACTGAAAAGGAAACTGTTGCCAAACAGGACCTAGTATTTATCGCTATATTTCTGCTTCTTGGGACACATTTTTCTTAATAAGGAGAGATTTGAGATTGAAGATGAACTAGCTTCATAAATTTAGTCTGACTTGATCCAAAAGATGTTCCAAATGTGTGGCTATCGTATCGTATGAGGAAAAAGAAGGATTTCCGCCTCCTATTTATCTATTTATTTATTTGGTTTTTCTTATTTTTGATGCTTCTCTCATTTGGTTTGTTTGATGTTTCAGAATTTCCCTTTATGTGTTAACTGTCCTCATTTTCTTCTAGTTTTTGTTTCATTCAGGTCCCTAAATCTTCAGCAGCATCGGTTTCTCTATTCATTGAGGAAAAGGGCACTGAAGCCTTTCCCAGAATAGGGTTGAAAGAAGATGAGTTTCTGGTATTGCTTCTTCATGCTGCAGTTACTCTTATTAACAGCTGCACGATTGAACAGCTGGAGAAGATCCCAAGGAAGCTCTCTGAAAGTTTACTGCTTTATTTTAAAAAGCTATGGGCAGATGCACATAAACAGATGTTATGTGGGAACATTCTGAAATTTAACCAGGGGAGACATTCTTATGTAACCAATATCAGAACAAATACTCTAGCAGAAAACATTTTCAGGCTCTCCATAAATGCTGGGCAATTCACAAGACCTTCCAACTTCAAGAAAGTCGAGAGAAGCATTTTCAGTTCAAGTGGGACTACTTTTGAAGATTTTGTGTTGAACCATTGGGAGGTATCTCCTTTGCTTATGAGGAGGCCTTCAAAAGCTTTGACTAAAGAAGATGATATTTTCAGTTCGTTTCTACAACATCTTAGCTCTGAAGGAGTTCTTTCTTTTATTCATTCAATCCTCCAAAATCTTACTTCTTGTCCAGCAATAGCTTCGGATGAGCTAAGTGTCCTTAGTTTTCTGAAGGAGGTGGAAAATCATCTAGGATGTCCCATAATTTACCAACAGGACATTCGGGTCCTAAAAACAGAGCATTCAGAAAGAGAGATGCATTACTTTCAGGAGTGTTTAGGGTCTAGTTGCTCCCAGGCTCCTCATTTTCTCTATATGGACAATGTTTTGAGATGTAAAGAAGCATACAAAGAGGGATACACAATTACACTGCGTGGCATGGAGTTTCGCTTTGAAAGTATTGCTGCTATTGCGGATGGGTTAGCATCTCTGTTTGGTCAACCATCGGCAGGTGTGAATATGTACCTGACACCACCTGATTCTCAAGGTTTGGCTCGTCACTATGATGATCACTGTGTGCTTGTATGTCAACTTCTTGGAGTCAAAAAATGGAAAGTTTTTTCCTCAGTATAGTCTCCATTTACCTCGCTTGTATGAACCTGTTGATAGCTGGCATGATATGAAGGTTGGAACTCCAATAATGGATGGGACCAAACAGTTTTTGCTTAGTGAAGGCGATATTTTATATATTCCTAGAGGTTTCCATCATGAGGCATGTACTGTCATCGATAATGACTGGCCCAATGGAATTGCTGGGTGCTCCTTACATCTGACTCTTGCTATTGAGGTTGAGCCTCCATTTGAGTAAGTTCTTAAATGCTTTAGTTTTCACTTGGTTCAGATTGAAGATGAATTAGATATGTCTTTATGCTTGTCCAAGGCTAGGTTTGTATCCAGTCTACCCTTCATCACACTTTATTTATGTGGAACTTATATTTGGCTTGATTGTGCCTCTTGTGTTTCATAGCACGTTGTGCATGTGGACCTTATATTTGGGTTGTTGGTCCCTCTTTTGTGATAACTTGATATTGTTAACTCGATATGGGCATCAGAATTAATGGAAGTGTTGCGGTAGAAATTTTAGAATGCCACCGAAAATCTCACCCATGTTTAATAAGTGTAGTGCAAATAAGGCCCCAATTATACAAGTGACCGCCTTGTGATGAACATGACTCTCAAATGTGAGGTTAATATTTTCTCAATATAGGTCTTAACGTACTTCCCTAGAAGGAAGGAACTCTCCCCCAGCTACTATTGCTATTACTATTACTTATAATAACAATGAGAATACAAATAGATACATTAACACCAAGATATCTTTAGTTATTGAGATATAGAGCTTGCTCCCAATTGACTTGACTTAAGTTCTAATTTCCTAATCCAGGATCACTGATTACCGTAGTCCCCTATATATTTTGATCACTACTGCTTCCTTTGATTGATAGGATTCTGAGCCTTTTGTTCCCTGGACGGTCTATCATGGAGCCTTTTGTGCCCTGGAAACAGTGACTTGGAAGGTCCATCATGTATCACATGGGACGGTCTACATGATTGTGAATTCATTTTATTGTACATGTGGATCTGTAACATGGTAGAAAATTGCAAATGTTGGTAAGAAAGGGAAAGTTATTGTCCTGTGCCAGCACAAACATTTTGTTTGGTGATACAGTATATGCCATTCCGTAGAAGGCTAATGCAGTCCTAGGGTTAGAATGGATGTAGGAGAACTATTTAAAAACTAAGCTAAATCAAAGGCTTAAGGCTGATAGTAGACTAAAGAACCTTGATCATTGGCTTTTCAGGATTCCTTTTACTGAATGAATAATTCTGCTTCCACTCTTATCCTCTATGGGTAATTGTGCATCCATTTTTGTATTTATCAATTTTTTAATTGTCTTTCCTTTTCTTTTTCAATTTTATCTGGTGCTATTCATTGTTCTAGTTTTCATATTCATGACAGTTTCACAAATAAGGAAATGCTAAGAGGAAATGCATTCTCCTTTTTTTACTACTATGTGTTTTTATTTCTATTTCCTTAGGGTAGGCACTGCATTTCCCTTATTATCTTCTCAATAAATGAGGGAGAGCATCTTCTAAATGATTGGAGAGCTTGTACTCTAGAACCAAAAAAACTCAACAATGCATGTGAACTGGCCCATGTTCGTTACAATAATATATAATATGGACAAAGGGTATCAGACCCAAACACAAGGTTTTGGCCCCATTGTGTCCTGGAATAGCTTACTTTTAGATATGTTTCGAGAATAACATATGATGATAGTAAATCATATCTTACACCACTCACCAATGGACCTTTGGTCCAATGGTACTCCTTACCTTATGAAGGTTCTGTCTTTTTGAGGTTAAAGATTCAAGTCCCCTCTCTCTCTCTCTCTCTCTCCCGCTCCCAAAAAAAAGAAAGAAAAAGTATCAAATAAAATAGATGCTTTCAATCAAGAAGAAACATAAGGTGAAAATAAGAGTCAGTTAGTCACATGGTTGCAAGAAAATATCAAAAAATATATATAAAAAGGCTTAAAACAAGGTAATCATATATCCTGTGGGTTTGAAATTCCATTTATGTAAAATATCTGCTGTCTACCCTCCTGAATGAAGCGGTTTTTTCTATTAAATTCCTTGGAACATCCCCACACATTTATTTTGGAAGCCAATAATCCTAGCTGACCTTGAATTTGTAACATTGATTGGCTAACAAAAACTGAACCCTGATGTGTTAGAAGACATTTAATGCACCTTAGTATCAATCATATGTGTTGCAGGTGGGAAGGATTCACTCATGTTGCACTTCATCTTTGGAATCAGAAACAGAATCTATCTCAGCACACTCATGGTGATTCTTTGTTTTGGAAGTTGAAAGTTATGTCTGTGAACCTATTGCATGTTGCAATTAAGCTACTTGGTGACGTCGATCCTACATTTCGGAAAGCTTGCTTGGTAGGTGCGGTTTCATCATCCGTTACAGGAGGTTGGCTGGATAGGAACCAGAGAATGATTTTCGGACATTTGATCAATAGAATTAATTTCAAGTCAAGGTTCTCAGATGTGCTTAGGCATGTAGAAGCGGCTGTTCAGAGACATGAAGATCTGTTCCAACAATTTAGGTGGCTTCAGCATCTCAATGAAGGAGAAATGGTTGAAGGACACGACTCGAGTATTCCTTTTGCTGGTATTGAAAACTATTATCATCTAGGTAGTCAGCATAAGGACAAGGCAGAAGCAGCTTTCATGGAGGTTAAATCTAAGTTCTGTAGTGAGGTAGTTTTTGAGGATGTAGAACATGGGTATAAGATGCTACTTGAGAAGTATAAGAAGGTGAGAAGGCAATACACCAGTGGGATGCTTTCACTGCACTGTAATTGAGAATAAACCTAAAAGTCTGGCAATGCTAGACCTTTAGCTTCCCAGGGTCTTTTTTTTTTTTTTTTTCAGTTATGATCTTGATCTCACATTGCTCCATTTTGCTATTTGAGTTTCTCATATTATCTATTCAACTGCATGAATCGTTTTCACAATTTCCTAGAGCTAAATGCTCATTATATTTATTATATTTCGGGTATGCCCATGAGTTCTGCACAATGGAAGTTTCCATAATCATCTTGTGAAGACCATGATTATTGAGGGGGAAAGTAAAATTAATAATCATAGGATGTTCAATCTGAAAAACATAATAGTTGAGAGAGTAATGTGAGACAAACACATAATTGAAGCGGTCAATGTATGATTTGCCCATCTTTTATCTAAAGTTTTCTGGGTCGGAGATGGCTTGGCAGACGTCCATAACAAAGGCATCAGCAAAAATCCAAATCGCTGTCTGTCCACAACAAATGGCTGACATTTTTAGAGCCTTGTTCCTCTGTGGAGCTTCGACAGACTGTAAGTTAGATCTGTAGGAATCTTTTG